AAGTAAGGAACCTTTGCTTCCTTTGCTCCTATAAACAAACTCGCGAGACTAGCATACCTCAGAGGCGCGTGCGCTGCGCATACGTGCTGCCTCATCCGCCGGAACTGCTTCAGTGTATGACAGTCAGCGGAAGTGAGAGAAAAGTGTTTATTACGTTTGAAATATGGATATTTTTCTTTTAAAAACAAATGGATTCACTACAGGGGGCCTTTATTCATCCCCCAGGGCCGTCTGCGGCACGTTTTATTTTAAATGCGCAAGCTTTATTTGACGACTTCAGGACTGTTCAACTGCAACACCCACTGACTGCAATGATAGAGCTTGGAATAGCCAGGACAATTTTTAATATAACTCCGACTGGATTCGTCTGAAAGAAGAAAGTCATATACACCTAGGATGCTTCGAGGGTGAGTAAATCAAAAGCTAATTTTAATTTTTGGGTGAACTAACCCTTTAAGAGTTGGTCCAATTGCATCAGCCACAACAAGCTATTGTGCTTGTTACTGATTATTGATATTGGTTATTGATATCATATCAATGCACCCCTACTACTGACCTTGGAATTAAACTCTGCTAGAAAGTCAAAGTGCTTCTTCAGGTCTGTTGCGAGAATGGCTTCGATGACTAGGAAGCGAAAGCGCTTAAACTCAACGTGGTCCAAACTGCATAGGAAGTTGAACTCCGGCTGGGAAAGAAACAGGCTCCAGGCAGAGGCTGCATGGTGGTTCTCCAAAACTGAACGGTCATTATACAGCACCGCCTGTGTGAGGGAAAGAAGGATGAAGAAAAGAAGAGAGAAACACGGTGTTCATGAGTCAAGAGGTTCCATGCTCTGATTACAAAAGCATATGCGCTTCTGATAAAATATGGGCTGGTTTCACTTCTTGACACAACAGTGTGAAAACTAGTTCAATAGCCAAAACTGTTAATGAGCTATTCAGAAACAAATAAACTGTACAAATTCAAAAGTTCTTCTAAACTACAATTTTAGGCATTGTTCACCACTTACCTGAGGAGCGTTAGTGGCTACAAGAAAGGCATTTGTGCGACCAGGGTGATCATAGTCATGCATAGCAGCTGCTACATATAGTGCCATGAGTTCCAGCGCAGGGATATTCCAGGCCAGACAGCCGTAACTGTCATCCGAGAATGAGGAACTTTTGGATGTGGCATATGCCACCCGGCCTGGGGAAATTCCACTGTCCGAATCTAATAAATACAAAGAGTGACCATGTATGAACAGTGGTGAAACACTATTACACATCCTTTCCATTTCAAAATCAATAAAGTGTCTTTCATAACCACCTTCATAACCACATGCAATCTAAATTTCTGAACTTGCTTTATTTAAAAAAAAAAAGTGAATTAGCCAACAATCCACAATATAAATTTTCGGCTAATCACATGTGACAGAGATTAGGCGATAATAATTTTCATGTTATGGCTAATAACTGATAAATGGCCGATTAAAAAATTATATTTTGTAGAATTTTTTTTAAATCAATTTAAAATGAAATACTAAAGCAATTTCTTTAAATGCTACAAGTGAATTTAGACATCACAACATTATAATATACAATAATGGAAATTCATTTTGAGCTCTGCTTAAGGTTACAGTAAAGTTTTATTAAATTATTAGTGTTTTTAAAGATCAATTTTACACGAGTTAAGATGACAGCAAAAACAATCTACATAAAAAATCAGGGGAAATGGGAATGTACAATGCCAAATATATCCAATTTATATACCTGATATTAAAAAAATCTCTAATATCAGACAATAATCAATTTGCAACCACAGAAAAATGGAGCATTTCTGTATGAAACCTATTTAGTATATTTAATTCATAATAATCCTCTAAAAACATTTAGATGAAATTAGAAATTGTTATAAAAGTAAATATGATCTATATAAATATATAAAATGTTCAGCAAATGAAAAATGAAAAAGACATATATTCATGTGAAGATCTGTTCAGAGATGTTTAGAGAAGTTTTATGTTTTCTTCGCTGTTAATTCAAACATAGGCCTTAATAAGTCACTAATGAAATAAGAGAATCAAACACCACAATTGCAATTAAAATGTTTTTTCAGCAAACCAAATATTCTGAAACCATACTCCATCTCTTTTCCCAAGATTTTTGAATATTTTGCAGCTCTGTACTTGAGCCAGATAGTGAAGTCACTGGTCTCAGTGTGATTCAACACCTCTGCCTGCCAGAGGCTGCTGCGTGGAACAGCAGCAGAGTGACTCACAGTGAACTCCATTTGAGAAATTACAAGGGCCATCAGCAGACTTAAAATAAGCCTCAGACATGCTGAGCCAGCAGCCACCTCAGATCTCAATAGCAAAAGAGGATCTCATATCGGACACCATTTGCGCCGAAGACCGGGCAGCAGCGATGGCCTCTAATTTATTTCCGATGGAATGGGAGGAATGCGAGATATAGACATGACTGAGGATAGATGCTCTAACCTGAATCTGCCCATCATGTACTTCATATTACCGTTTTATCCAGTGCCTTATCCAAGGGCACAATGATGGTAGACCATGAATCGACCATTGTGGGATTTGAACCTACAACCTTCAGTTACCAGTCCACTACACAAAACCCCACCTCAGTAACACCTGCAGATCTCAAAGTTTCTTGATGCCAAAACTATAATGGAGCATGAGAGTACAGGTGTACCTGTATCACTTCCCGTGACATGCTCATTATGGATCTGCTGAAAGCCTGGGATTGGCCGGGTGGTAAGATACCACACTGCATGAAGGACGTCAGTGGCATGGACACGGTTGTGATCTGAGGGGAGAACAGACAGAATACCAAGTTAACGCTTCACTGGAATTCTTTCTAACCGTTCTCAGCTTCACAAGACACAAATCTTCACTGTGGTCCAATTTGAGAAATACTGGAACAATTCTAACCCAGTTTCCAAGTTTAACTTCAAAAATATTTTTTTATTCTCACAGGGGATATCACGATAGCCGTTTTCCAGAGCGCAAAAGTACGTCATGAATTCCCGCACAGGGATTTTGAAGATTTCTAACAGACCCGTGTCCTGGAACAAAGTGTACGCCACCTGAGAGAATGTAACAAACAGAACTTCATTAAGACAAGACAAGCAGTGAGCCATTTAGTCCCTGCAGATTCATGTTTACTGGCACAGACTACTGAGAAGGACCACTAGAATTACATTCAGCTTAATCTATGAAATGCCAGTCACATCAGATCAGACAATAAAAGTGTGTAATTACTTGGATTTAACTAAACGGGAAAGGTTTTCATTAGCTAAAAGAGAACGATGCTTTACACTAAAGTGATAAAAAAAAAAACTCTCAATTACATTTTTCTATTTTACTGAATTTGATTCCCAAAACTCAGCCCTTTTATTAGCTTAATCACTGCAACAGGATCTTTTAAAGGGGTCATATGACGCGATTTCAATTTTTC